TAAGGCATTTATAATATAGGTAATATAAAATAACTGAAATACTTTAAAGTCTCTCCAAACATTACAGTACATAAGTCGCCCAGCATAACATAGAAATAAAGAAAGGATGAGGACAGAGGGAAAGAATAAAAAAGAGCTGCAGCTAAATGCTCGTAAATTAGTGCCAAATGCCAGTTTTTCATACTTACACATGATGGTTAAATATAAAGATAATCCTTTGAAAAGTTCTTTTTTTGTTTTTTTCTTTTTTGTTAAATAAGTGCAGACTCACTTTGTGATTTGGTCTGATCCTGTGTTTTTGTGCTAATCACGAGTGAAACTTTATCCACAATCCGTCCCAAATTTGAGCTTTTTTAGTCGTCCATATTAGATGAGTGTAGTGGAAAAATATAAGTGCTCAGTTGTACTAAAGAAATTACTCATGTAAAATATTTTAGTTTTTATATGTGGTCAAAGAATATAAATTCATTAATTTTAATGTTTGAATCATATGAAGACCAAAAAAAAGAAACACTGTCAGAAATGCTGAGTAATGACATCATCTACACTCGATCTGTGCATATGTACAAAGATTAAATTACTTAAGAAAGATTTAAACTTACATCTGGTTAGTTCTCTTCTTGATGTCTCTCCTCAGTGTGTTCGTAAAGACTGCTGTCAAAAGCAGGTTGTATGCGACACTAACACAGAGATCTTGTTTGCCAAAGGTCAGGATTTGACTATTGAAATATTCCAGCAGAATGATCCAGTGTGAGATATGTCAGATATGAAACGGGGATTTTATGTAATCATGTGGAAAACAGAAATATAACACTCACTGTTGAATATCGAACGAGCAAGAGCAGGAAGAGGAAAGAAAATGTATAACTACACATAAATCTTTCCCATTTATAGTTGCTACAAAATGCTCCAGGTTAAATTCAATGTTCAGTGACACTGTTAGAGTTTTCTGTTAAATGATGAGACACGAGGACACAAAGGAGGTAAGAACAGTAAATACTAAACTCCAAACTGAAAACAAAACACATAAAACTAACTGGACTGGTTCACTATGAAATGCAGAGACATCAAGGACATAAAATAAAATGATTGGCATTAAAAGAAGATCAAAACCCATGAAAATGTACACGTACATTCCATTCCATAAATTCAATTTTATTTATACATTTTATATTTTACTATGTACAAAGTATTTTTTATAAAGAAATCTAAATTATGGAGACATAATTCAATACTCAGATATGATGCAATCTGCCTGTCGCCTCGACTCTAGCCCGCACACCCAAGTAGGAAGTGCAAGTGAGAAATAAGTGGGAACAAGTGGGAGAAAATGTGTGGATGGATAGATAACTTTTCTATTCTTTATAAAATTGTTTCAATAAGTTTTATTTATTTTTTCAAAAGTCAGTTTTTATTTTTATTTTAGTTTTTTTTTTCAATTCCAGGTTTTGATTATAGTTTTAGCTCAGTATAATAACCTTGGCCTTATCAGCCTCACAGTTAAACATGTTTCAGCACAGTCCCAAAAAGTCCTGTTCGATTTTCAGTCAGCTCCAACAATCTGACCTCTCTCACAGCAGCAAATATGCATGAAGCATAGAGAATAAACTGTCTGTTGGCTTCTACATCAGTATTCATTGGACTTCCATTGTTTCCTTCTAAACCTTTAAAGATGCTGTGGTACATATGTGGTCTGTAGTAGATATCTGTAAAATAACATTAGTGTTGTGTGTTATGTGTATTTGCTGTAGATAAAGTGTAAGAGTCAAATCTGTAGTCGCATTAGAAATGTAATACACGTTTACTCTGCTGCTAACCTATATAGCCACTAGATGGCACTGTTTGACTGTCATAGTCAATGTGAACACTCGACTGGAAACAGAAGTAACTTGAGAAGGAACATTTTCCCAATTCAAATTATTGTTGCTTGATCATGAATGGTTGTGCTCTCTTTATTGTTTTATTGTCGTGACATCATCAATGTGTAGGCTCCACTTGTTGTGTTTAATGGAAATTAATTATTCAATGGATAGGCGTAACGGTAAGGCTTTTAGTAGTCATGGCCAAATTAAGCTTTCTGAAGCATGTATAGAAAAACGGTTCATTACTTGTCAAAACAGTCCTCTTTGGTGACCTCTGGTGGCCCATAATATGAAGAGCAGCTTGAATGTACAACTTAGATTGATATCAGGCTGATATGGTGCTTTGAACGTGTATTTTTTTTTCTTTTTTGGAGGGGGAGGGGGTTGTGGTATGTCTATTTTCATAATAAATCATTTAGATGAATAAACCACCCTTGTTGAAACATGTGCCATTGTGTGTTCTCTACTATATTAACAATGTTGAACAGGATCTTATAATAGTTTGGGAGATTGTCTGTGCCATGAAGCCCCTTCCTTCACGTGATTATGTAATTAACCAGTGGACAGGTAAGTTTATATATAATAAAATAACTTCTATAATTATACATATATATGTATTGTTTATTTCTTATGTAGATTTCAGACCAGGGAGCCAAATTGCTGATGAAATGGTTTTATTCGGGAATAGGCAGAGCCTATTAAATGTCTC